TATATATATATATATATATATATATATATATATATATACGTAACGTGTGCTTCTCGTGATTGAACACTTATCGACCGTTGACTGTGCGAGATAGACGAAAGTTACAGAGAAAAAAAGGGGAAGAGAATATACAAAGAGAATACAATAGTACAAAGTGTAGTTATATGTAAAGTAGAGAAAATTGGTAAAGACAGACAGAGAGAGAGAGAGAGAGAGAGAAAGAGAGAGAGAGAGCGAGAGACAGAAAAAGAGTGAGAGAGAGAAGAGAGAGAGAAAGGAAATATACGTGTCGTCGCGAGTTTCTATTCTTGTCGTACGCAAAACGTGATGTGCAACTCGTGCATCCATTCTCGGCTTTTATCACATCGTGATCGGCTGTGACGGAGCTGCAACGGACCAGCAATAGTCGTTCTCATTGTCGCGCTACAGCCCGAGCCGTCCAGAGTGATAGACAAGTACATAGACATTCGATATTAAAAATATTCGCTGCGCAATCATCGTATAAACGTTACCATTACAAAGTGTCGTGGGGATTCTTCGACGAGAAACGGACCGCAATCATTGATCTTGTAGCACGCTAAAAATCATTGTACAGACTGCGATCGCCGATTGACGATCTGCGATCGTCGTCCTGCTCGCAATTTGATCGCACCACGCAGATGCGTGGTAATACTTGGAATAACAATTGGCGACTCCTTATCGACGTGACACATTCTAATCTATTTTGTACAAACGCACCGTCGCACTCGGCGTCGTCCGCTTTAACTCCGCGACAGTAGAGTCTCTCCCGTTTCAGCCGTGAAATCGATAGGAATAGCGACGGCTAAGGCCGCTTGAGGACAATAGCGAGTTGATGAATCTTTTACGCGTCGGTCTTCCATTTGCGCAACAATGAAAGTTCCTTTTGCCGGGCTAATTATGAGTTTCGCGAAAGAGAGACAGAGAAAGAGAGACGGATTTAGATTTGCGTACACGATGACGACTATCTGCTTACGCGAGTCGTGCCGCGCGCGTGCTAGTTTACGTAAGAGCCGCTCGTTCAACTCGGCGAAGAGCGAGGAAAGTTATACAGCGGAGCGGAAGCGGAGAGTGTAGAGATGTCGGCGAGAGAAAGTTTCAGCGAAGAAAGTTTACCACGGAGTGCTGTATACGTGGGGTCAATTTAACATTCATCCTGCTTAACGTCACTCGGATAACTAGATATAATACGGCGTACTTCACGGGTGACGTATGGTACCTTCACGACGAGCTTGAAATGGCTTCTCTGCGGCGGGGAAATTATCCGAGAGCTCGTCGATCGGTGAGAACATAAACATCGATGACTGGAGGGGAGTGGTGCGCACATTTCGGGAGTTCCGGGTGTGAACCCCGCGAAGGGGATCGAAAGCGAGGGCGTCTAACATGTAATCTCACGAGGACCACGAGAGGGTGTAGAGAACGTAGAGAGGGAAACGAGGGAAGAAGAGATCGAAAGAGGGCGGAGGTGGGGGAGGGGGAGTCACAAACAGAGAGAAAGAGAGTGAAAGAAGAAGAAAAAGAAAGAGAGAGAGAGAGAGAGAGAAATTGGCTGAGGACTGCGTGGACCACTGCTAAGTTGGTTCTGGCTGTCTGTGGAGAGCTACGTGGATGCAAGCTGTATACGGGATGAACGGTATATATAATAATATGTATAATATTTATGTACGCAATATATATATAATATACGTGCTCAGGTCGAAAGCTCGTCGACGTAAGAGATAATATCTGAGGAAATTCGACTTGGAAAAAAAAAAAAACCCCGGCTGGTTTCTCCCTACGCATTGGTCACGACACTCGCGATCTTCTGTGAGGAGAGGCGGGCGAGAAATCCGACAAGTCCGCGATAGGGTAAAGTCGAGAGACGGGCCTGAATATTTCATCCCCCCGGATTTGCATGAAAAGTCGCCGATAAAATAGAATCGAGCTTTGTAGCCAACATTCCGTTCCGTTTGTGCATTCGCGACCCGCAGCCCCAAATCTACAAAGTGGTTCATCAGAAACGGAATATCCGAATACCCTCCGAAATTCCGAAGATGCACGGAAGGAATCTTAATGACCGGGATGTTTATCCGTTATTCCGTCACTTCGGATCGCGAAGAGATATCCGGGACGTTTCGTCGCTGATGAGAAAGCTTTTCCAGTTTTTGTCCGTATGTATTCATATATTCATATATTCACTCCAATTTCTCATGCAAACGCCGTAATAAGAAAATTTTAACCCGATCTCGACTGCCTCCCCCCCGCGCGGCTGTCTCTCCCGCGCTTCCCGGCACTCGCGTACAGGGGAAGTTTTGTGGGGTGTTCAAGGGGGGGGGGGGGTTACGGGCGAAGAGCAAGCACTAATCTGTGCGTCTACTACGGCGGGTAATTCTTCTAATCGTGTGTATGTGTATCGGTGCGTCAATATCCTATCAGTGCGTCGTTCTCGTCGAAGAGTCGTGCATGCGCGATCAGTGACGCTTGGTCGAGTCGAGGTACGAGTTGAGTTGATCTCAGAGAGTGAGATCGCGTTTAAAGATTCGCGACGTTACTAATCGTCTCTCGTCGTTTCTCTCCGTTCGGTTCTGTCACCCTAAAAGTCGCGCGGCCGATCGGCCGGCCCGCGATGTCGGGACCGGCCGATCGATGCCCGCGATCGATTTTTTTCCCCTACCTGAGAGTATGATCTGACAGATTAAGAGCTTAGCTTCTTATCGGCGAGGATCGGACTGAGTTTGCCTGTCTATATATATATATAGATATTTACATATTGTATATGTACATGTACCTGGTGCACATGTAGTATACCTAATTGGCAGCGAGACACGTCAAGACAACGAGTCTCCGAAAGTGAGAGAGCACCGAGAGTGTAAAGTTTCTCGTGTCTCCGCGACGATTTTCGCGGTGGCTCTCTCCGCTCTTCCTTCAGCAATTACCGTTATCGGCGGATCGATTTAGGGACGCGTTTAAGACACTTTTATCGAGGCGCGATGGTCGTCGGTTTTTTACGCGGCAATCGGAAAAAACGCGGAAAAAAACAGACGCAAAACCGCGCGTTTAACGGTGTGGAACTCAAATGAAAATGCAAACCAAGGTAACGTCGAAACAGAAATATTTCAGCTCGCTGTTGTTTCGTCGTCGTCGTAATAGTAATAGTGAAAAAAAAAACAGAGTACTGGGACTTTAGAGTTCAATTATATACTCTGTAACGATGGTGGTATACGTAACAAGTAATCAGACGCGCGCGTACGTTCGACGTGGAGTGCGAGTGAACGTCGAGTGGTCGCGCGCACTGTAGAGAAGAAAAATTTAAAGAATAAAAAAAAGAAGAAAAGAGAAAAAAAGTCCGAAAAGTTTGACGTTAAAAAGACCGTAATGTAACTCATGTGATCTCGCCAGCCGAATCTGCTGGATCCGGAAGGCGGCGGTCTGTTGGGTTTCTTTTTCTGTTTTCGTGAGAGAGGAATCGAGAGAATATTGATTTCTGTTGAGTGATGAGATAATGAGAGAATGAGAGAGAGAGAAGAGAGAAAAGAGAAGAGAAGAGAGAGAGATAGGGATAGTTACCTGTGTCTGTAGCCGTGTTAGACCACGGATCCATAGAATTTGTCCTGCGCGCGGCTTTTTATCCGAGTCAGGGTCGAATTTCTCGTCTCCTAGATTGATCGCGCCGATATCATCCGGCTGGCCGCGGCCCCATCTGTTTTTGAAAAAAACATGAAAAACCATTTCTTCATCACTCGGATTCTCCTGTTAACTGAATGGAAAAGAATGGTGTGATATATTGTTTGTTAGTTTCTTTTTTTTTTTGTTTTTCTTTCTCTTATTTTGTTCGTTTGTTCGCTTTTTTCGCAGCCGGCTCTCCCTCCTCCGGCGCGCTGCACCCGACACCATTTTCCGTTTTCCCCTCGCTCCTTTAGCAGAATCCCTAATCTACTACAAGGTGCTAATGCTACGCGATGATTCGAGGGTGAGTAAAAAAGTTATCGACGATAGATAAGGTTTCTGGACGGTGATAACATGGTGGTGGTGGTGTATATGCGTGTAACGTGGTCAGCAAGGATCGATGTGCGTGTCTGAGAGAGAAAGAGATGTGAGAAATACGGGTGTTCGGTAACAGGCGCGTTTCGCGCACCCAACGGTATCGAAAACTGAAATAATTTTCTCAACGATAAAAAAGACGCTTGACATAAACTTTGATTAATATTGAAATTTTAAGGAAGACGAAAAATGCGATGTTGAATTAATTTCGAATAAAAAATGATTCCAGTTTTCGGTGAGATTATTAAACGGGCTTGCTAGCGGACACGCCGTGGATATATGAGCAAATGAGGGGATGCATGGTAAGTGCAATGCGGATATATCGCGAGCAAGAATTGCGTGTTTTCGCCACGATATGGTACAAAAGTGTGTTAGTGTGAAGCGTCGAAGAGGCGAGACTCGTCTCTCCCCCTCCCCCGGCTACCGCTTGTTACAGCGTTCTGTTACAATCGAGTGATAAGCGAAGAAATGCGAGAAATGAATTGGGCGGAAGAACGAGAGAGGAAAAGAACGCAAACGTAAGATAATGTACCGCGCGAGACAACGTTTCGAGTGCATCGGTCCTTGCGTGCGATTCGCGCGACGCGTCGCTCGCTCGATTACGCAATTTCTTCAGCATAGCGCGAGGTGCGGAGAGCACCGTTACACATTCGGAGAGACCCCGGAACGCGTTACACGTTGTGTTTCCGTTTCGTTGGCTTGTATCTTTCGCGCGATTGGTCCTACTTGGTCGGGTTCGTCTCCTCCGTTTTCTCCGGGGGTGGTGCGTCGTCAATTTTGCGTCAGAGATAGTCGCCTTGAGTAGAGAAAAGCAGGTGCAGTTTTTCCCTTACCTGTTGAACGACACGACAAGTGCGAGCGACATTGCACAGCGCCGCGACTACGTGTCGCCGGTCGTTGCTATTTATAGGCTTGCATAAGCGCACAGCTCGTGGAAAATAGTGCTGCTCGGTGGACGAGATAGCGTCGGTATCGGGTCGGTCCGTAAATTCACGCGTATTTATGCGGCCGCGTTTAATGCGAGATAAAATTCCAACGCGGACGGAGAAAGAGACGGCGACGAGCGACGAGCCAAGTAAATATGAATGGCGCTTTTCCGTCAACGATACTTTTTCCGAGAAATGCGCGCGAAACTTAGAGACCAACCCGATGAGAATCTCCCGCTGCTCGTAGCGGTGCTGTTCGTCATCGGTTTTTGTCCCGACGATGCGAGGGAGACGCGAATGGAGAGATGCGGGCATACGGGAGATACCGTGGTACTGTTCACCTACGAAACGGCATACACACACTACAACGTGAATAGCTCGGGGTTGTTCCGTTGTATTACAAGCGGTATACGTGTACTATACTCGGCGATAAAAGCCTCGCGAGAACGCTCCCTGTAACCTTTGGTTAGCTGACTCTTCCGCTCGTGTAGCATTTTAGTAGTGCACTCGGCTCGCGTAGAGAGAGAGAGGAGGGGGAGGGGGGGGGAGGTGAGAGTAGCGGCAAAAAGTGTGTGTATTCTCGACTCTCGGAGCGAGATTAACTCGCTTTGCGCCCCTCTTCCTCCCGTTACACGAGACAAGGTTCTCGCATGCGGCTACGTTCAAGCCGTGCTTCTCTTGTGAATTAGGAGCTGTTAGCTTGAAGAGAAAAAGAAAGAGAGATAAAGAGAGCAGAGAGAGAGAGAGCAGAGAGAGAAAGAGAGAGAAAGAGAGCAGAGAGAGAGAGAGAGAGAGAGAGAGAGAGAGAGAGAGAGAGAGAGAGAGAGAGAGAGAGAGAGAGAGAGAGAGAGAGAGAGAGAGAGAGAGAGAGAGAGAGAGAGAGAGAGAGAGAGAGAGAGAGAGAGAGAGAGAGAGGGGGGGAGAGGGAGAAGTAAAGAGATGCAGAAGAATGGTGCGAGCGAGAACCAAAACTGTGTAAAATCAACGGGCTCGGATTTCGATGCAACAAACAGAAAGAGTCGTTACGTTTTGTTTCTTTTCCTTCACACAAAATACACTTTATTCATGCTTACAGAGGAAATTGACCACGCCGAGATTACACAGGTTTCAATCGCGGACAGATGCGGACAAGCAGAAAGAGGAGAGTTGTGCATAAGCGGGAGCGTACGCCCGCGAGTATGGTTTGTGTATCTGTGTGTATGTGCGATGTGGACGGGAAGGTGCAGAGAGTACGTTAAGTGAGAACAATAAGGAGAGACAGGGGTGAACGGAGATAAAGACAGAAGAGGGGAAAAAAAGAACACAGGAAGAAAAAAGAGAACGCTGAGAAATCGCGTAAATCCAACGAATCGAGTGAAAGAGTGTGTGTTGATAAGCGTTATTAATCGCTCGAGTGTCTGGAATTGCTCGCCAAGCCGAATCCGGAATTGATTATCAGTTTGATCGATCGGGGTTATGAAGCTGAATAAAAGCTCTTACTCATTGTTAGAGATTATGCGTGGATTTTTGCTTAGCGCGTCCGCTGCTCGCGACAGCGCGCGTCCGCTGTCGCCGATCAATCGACATCGCGTACACAAACAAGTACGTAGATTTTCGAAGACGGCTGTAATCATGCAACGATTAAGGCCAAGTTACGTACAGGTTGGAGGAGCGAGGGAATACCCGGGGATGGGGCACCTTAAGCGTGCGCGATTATTTTTACTTGACCACGATCGACCAGAGAAATGACACATGATCGCTAACGATTGAAGCAACAAATAATTTCTAACGTGAAAACAACTATAAAATTGTCTTAATAATCGAATCTTGTTTCGAATATGCTGAATAAAAATCCGAGTCGTACTAAATTTGTTATGCAAAAATATTTGTATTATTTTGTGAAGTGCCAATTATTTATTATTTATATATAATTTTGTAACTACAGCATTTTTAATTGATTAATATATATTGATGCAGGCATGATCGATACGTAGCAGTTATTCTGCGATTATTTTACAAAGTCGTCAAACATTTCAATCGTGACTCAAAGTAAAAATAATCACGCGAGCTTGCAAGTGGGAGACAACATTCTTCAGGAATCGACATAAATTGTTACTAACCCTGTGATACATTTGTATATATATAAATATTTGTATGTATATATATACTAATCACAGCACGAATGAGTTCAGGGTTTGACATGCACAGGAATCTACCGCTAATGAGACGTAAGCTTAAACTGCTAATTCATGTGATAGTAGACTATAGCGATCGTTAAATATAAAATCGGTTACTCTAAACTTACGATTTAAGCACAATATTAATCCTTTCACTTCTTATATTGTTGTAGATAGCAAAAATGATCAATTATCGATTAATTTTCGAAATCATTTAAGATTAAAATATCAAAGTTTTTTTATCATTAAAAATAAAATTGAAGAATTATGCAAATATTAAAATAACTTCATTCGTTTAAAACAAATTGTTTTCCACAAAAGAAACGCGCTATTGGAGCAACCGTTTTTTTTTCTCTTTTTTCCGTTTATTCATTTCTCTTTTGCAATAAAAGCCCGATCCTGTGCTCAAAAACCAAACGAAAAAATAAACCGTGTGTGTATGTATGTGTGAGTACGTAATTTTAACTTACGAAAGAATTTTGGGAATTCGGCGTGTAGGAATAGTCGTAACTATTTGGCCCCATATTAGCGTACCGATTCCGAAGAACAGGCACCACAACCACTGGTCTAACGTGAGCGCTCTGGTGCTGAATGCCATTTTACCGTATTGTATGATGAAAACCTAAAGAAAAAGAAATATATGGCTCCATTAAGAAAAAAATATAAAAGATACTCTTCAAATCATCGTTGTAAAAACCGCCAGCTGTCATTGTTAATAAAAAAAACTAATTTACTACGATGGCTAAATGAAGAACATTTAAAACGCATATTTAATATCGCTTGCAGATGTGATTGAAGTAAATATTCGATAACTCACTTGCGATGCACACGTGCCGACCCAAATCGAATAGAAGATGGGGTTGGTGAAGATTCCCTGGAAGACATTGCGTTGACCGTGAATTTTCCTGGCGTTGAATTCGTTGAAGAGAGTCATCATGACGAACGTGTTGAAGATGACGGTGAAGTGCTGCGTGGGTCCGCCGCCCGCCGCCGCCACTCCGCGGCCCGTGTCGATGTCGAGCATCAGGTCACCTGTGGCAGTCGATCACGGGGGTTCTTTAGAGTGTCCGCGCAGCGAGGAACGAATCGATCGGGGTCTCGTCGGGAAATCGTAGAGGGGCGAGGGGAGACGGTACTCACCGGCGAAAAGAAGCGAGAAAATTACGCCCAACTGATACACGGCCTGACCGAGAATATTTTTCATCATTGTCCTGGAAATAAGTGGTTTTGTGCGACCGTACGGTCTACGGAGGAGCAGATCGGGCGTAGGCAATTCGGTGGCCAAGGCGAGGGACGCTAACGTGTCCATGATTAGGTTTACCCACAACATCTGCACCGCCTTGAGCGGCGAGTCCTGCACGGCACAAGCACCGATGAAAGCGACGATCACGGCGACCACGTTGACGGTCAGCTGGAACTGCAGGAACTTGGCGATGCTGTCGTAGACGTTTCTGCCCCACATCACCGCCTTCACGATCGACGAGAAGTTGTCGTCCGTCAGAATGATGTCGGACGCCTCCTTGGCGACGTCCGTGCCGGCGATACCCATGGCGAAGCCGACGTCAGCCTTCTTCAAGGCCGGACCATCGTTCGTGCCGTCGCCGGTTACCGCTACGACCTCTCGGCTCTCGGTCGACTTGCTGTCAATAATGCCCTTCACCAGGGTGTACTTGTCGGTGGGCGACGACCTGGCCAGTACTCGCAATTTCGGCCACACTTTGTCCAATAGATGTTGCTGCACCTCGCCGTTGGTGTCACGAATCCTGCGATTGAACTCCTTGCCTTCGAGAATGAGGAAGTCCTCGTTCGGCTTCAGGATGCCGCACTTGAGCGCGATGGACCGCGCCGTGTTGATATTGTCGCCCGTCACCATGCGCACGGTGATGCCGGCCTTCTGGCATTTCTTGATCGCGTCCGGTACCTCGGGACGTACCGGGTCCTCGATGCCGACGATGCACAGGCAGGTGAGGTTGTTCACTAGATTATCCTCATCGTCCCAGTTGGGCTCGTTGTCGACGTGAACTTGATTGATCTCCGCCTTGCCAGGAACAAAGTCGCGATAAGCGATGGAGATGGTGCGCAGCCCGTTGCATGCCATCGGTTCGATCACATTCTTTACCAGACGCTCTTGCATATCTCTGGTAAACGCTTCCAGATGACCTTCGCGACCATATATAAAGGCACATCTGTAACCAAATCAAATCTCTTAATTCCTGATCGATTAAGTTAAATCAGATTAGAAAAAAAAAATTTACATTAATATTTAGATAAATTTCTTTTCTTAAAAAAATGCAGCACAAATTTAAGAAATTGTTGAATAACAATATTCTAAAATGTTGAGACATTGGGGAATTCTCGCGAAAGCGATAAGTGGAAAGAAACGTGGAGGAAGGTATATACGTACTTCTTCATGATGATCTCGGAAGCGCCCTTGGTGAAGAGCCTGAATCCACCACCCTTCCTGGGGATAACGGTGGACATGCTTTTCCTTACGCTATTAAACGTATACACCCGCGTAAAGGTTTCCTCAGGGAAGTCGTCCCGCACAGTTTGATATTTCTTGCCCAGGGCTAGTACGAATCCAAGTAAGGCACATTCGGTTTTGTTGCCGACCTGCAACGGCAATTCGGTGGGGTCTTGCGACTCCATTATCCGCGACGTGTACGCCGAATCGATGGAGATGGCCTGTATGAGCAGCTCGCCGACGTGGCTCGGTATGTCCGAGAAATTCGGCGTCGTCTTGCACATCTTCTCGCATATATACGACTGTACCACGGTCATGCGGTTCGTAGTCAGGGTGCCGGTCTTGTCCGAGCAAATGGCGGTGGCGTTACCCATCGTCTCGCAGGCGTCCAAGTGACGCACCAGATTGTTGTCCTTCATCATTTTCTGCACACGGAAGCACGGAATAAATGCGCGGGAGAAGGCAAGAGCTTAATTAAATCTATTCTAATTAATATTTTCATATAAATTGATGTATGTTACAAAATCCTCGTAATCACCTTGACGGAATAAGCGAGCGACAGGGTGACGGCTAGAGGAAGACCCTCGGGTACGGCGACTACGAGCACCGTGACACCGATGATCAGATGCCGCACAAGATCACCGGCGTACGTGTTCCGCCACGGCTTGCCCTGGATGACGAAGGTCGTCACGCAGAACTGTATCATTAGAATGACGACGGTGAGCATCGCGATGGTGGAGCCGGCGTAACCGATCTGTATGGCGAGTTTCGTTAGCTTGGCTTGCAGAACACTCTTTTCCTTCTTCCCGCTGCTCTCCGAGGCGCTTGCAGGCGCGGACGCATGATGATTCTCACCGCCCTCGTGCTTACCACCGCCGCCGCCGCCGCCACCGCCGCCACCGCCACCGCTACTGGTCACATGACTGTTCCCGGTAATCTCTACTGATTCCTCTCCTTGATTTACAACGCCGAGATTAGATCGCGCTTCGTCGCGACGCATCGATCGAGGCTCACTCGACTGTCGAACGATCAGATTCCGAATGCACGCTTCGAGAGAGAATTTTCATCTTGCTCGCCGTTAATTGATCGTCATCGATTGAGCCTTGATCGTTACGCTGAGAACAAGTGTACTAAATTGTGAAGAACATTCCAAGTATAAAATACTGGATGCTACTCGAATTAGCGGATATATAGCCAGAAGTTTAATGAAAGATGACCAAAATGGAAGACACAACAATTACAAGTTAGAAACACAGATTAAAAAACCAACCGGGTGTCTGTTCATTGCTAAAAATGCAGAAAACAAGAAGCTATGCAAGAGGTAGCCGCTAATGTGTCAAATGCATATAAACCACTGCCAATAGAACACGCAAAGATCAATCAGGGAACACGGAAGCGTGGATAATGTAATTTCGTTTCTTTTTTTATACTCGAGCCTGGATATAACGCTTGGTGATGAGTGCTATTACATCGAGGTCGCGCTTCAAAGTTCATAACGTTTTGCGTCCACCTCCGCTGTTTCGCACTTCGATTTTTAGCTGATGTCATTACTTTGCGGGTACGCTACATCGAAGCCCGAGCACACGTTTCCTTATACCGTACTCAACAGAAAGAGGGAGAAACCGACTTTAATCGAACGTTTATCAAGTGCAATAAAAGAAATATATATATATTCCCTTACTTACGCAACACATTAGAACGTAAAGATATAATTAATCGAAATGATAACATAAAGAAACAGAAAAAGTACCCGAACGATGCAAAGAAATGAAGAAGATGAAGTGAGAGATAAAGATAAAAAGAAAAACTAAACTAAAGGCTGCCTAATTCCTTCACATTAACGATATGTGTACATATACACATAATTATAATATATATCGAGATAATAAACAATAAAATATTAGATAAATATATTATTTAGAATTATTCACCTGGTAATGACTTCTTCTTCCGCTGCTTTTTAGCCTCTAGATAAAAAAATGCATGCAAAACGAAATTGATTAGCAATCTATCTGAAAATATATATGCCAATGGTAAGTCGCGTCTCATTAGAAGAATTTACACTTGTGATTACAACCCTTTCTCTTTTCTCGTTAATCTTCGCAACAGAGTACTTAATACTAAGAAATGAGGTAGATACAGCCCAGAAGGTTAAACATAAAGAACTAGAAGCGGCTATTGCTTCCATAGTAAACGGACCAATTCTTACTAGTGTAACTGTAAAAGTGCATGAAAGTGCATTCCTGGATAACATGTCAGAAAAATACGAGTTTACCTTCCAGGTTGTGCAATAACGAAAGACATACAGAGGAGCATGGATCGTCAAAAAAAAAAAAAAATGCTTTCGATATTTTTCCATATATAAAATGTCTCAAAAGTAACGTATTTTTTCTGAACTATAAATATTAGAAATTAAACTAAAAAAAAAAACGATCACTTATATTAAAAGTTATAAGATTGCGGTAAAAAGTTTAGCTTTTAAAACAATGTTTTTTTTCAATAAAGATAATTTTAAAATAATTATTTTTCTTTTTATTAATAAAAATGTAATTTGTAATATTTAATAGTTTCGATCTCCAATTCGAATACGTGACTTCTAAGACACACATACTTTTTATATAAATTATTTCCGAAGATTGTATGACAATAACGATTGGATCAATTTTGTAATTGTCAAATGTAAGATTCGTATACACATATCAGACAAAGATAAGACATTATATAGCAGAAACATTTATAGCTATGTAGAAAGGGACAAAAACACAAATGAATTGTAAACGCAAGAGACTTAATCAAGTAATAGCACCTTGAAAAAATTGCATCGATAAAGGTTCGTTATCCTCGATAGCAATACAAATGATAATTTAGCAAAACCCTCTGTAAATGATTCTTTAACGATAACAATTTGGACGTAATACGACGGTAATTTGCAAATATCACTTTAATGTTTGATAATGTCCGATACATTTAGAGTGAATGGGAAAAAATTTTGTTAATGCAGGAATTGCCGTGAAATAATACTGCTGTATCACGGCAGGTTGATAAAATATTTTACACTTTAGAAAAGTGAAAAGCATCTGTGATGCGTTAACAGATGAAAAACGCTACAGCCAATTAGTTATGAGTTAATAAAGGGATACAAAATTCATTTGGTAGGTGCTGCAAATGCAATGTCGAAGGTAGAAAACGGGGAACAAAAAACTGGCTGTTGTGAAATTCATAATAAAAAATGACCACACCAATTCACGTCAAAACCATGCGTCCACTGCGATTCGTCTACACTCATTTTGAAACATTTCGTAAATAACATGCGGGGACATGTGGTTGAGTACCAACAACTTCTATTAGAGGCAAATTCTCGTAGATTCTACACGCTACTCGAGCTACTTATATTATGAACATATAGTAAACGCATTCACGTATCTGCGATGAAACTTTCGATAGAATTTACTAAATGATTCAGAAGTTGCTAGTAGAGAAACAGGTGTACTAAATCATCAGAGTGGAAAGAATATATGGGATATCGATTTCGAAAATAATCTGAAAAAACTTAATAAAATTTCGAGAAGACACGTATTATATATATATATATATATATAGATATAAAAAAACTACATTACTCCAAGAATTTAGTAACCTCTGTATAAATGCGTAGTCGATCGATCGATCGGCAATAACGATCACACGTACCTTTCTTCATTTTCTTGATTTCTTGCTCCTGTTGATCAACAGCAGCGCCTAGCAGGGTAAAGATAATGCCCGCCTGAGAGTTAACACCTACTGCGGAAACTAACATTTTTCCGGAACCCTCCATCACGTGCGTACCTTTTCAACAAGACAGCATATTCAAAATAGCCTTCCTCCGTTCTTTCAACATTTCGAAACTTTTCACATGTGAAATATAATCCAACAATGAGAACTACTACAAATCCTCCAAGATTTCCCTCACCTGAAAGTACCATAGGATCGAACGATTCCCCTTTCTTTACATGATCTGACTCTCCAGTCAGACTGGATTCATCCACTTTGAGATCGTTGCTTTGTATAAGAATACCGTCTGCAGGCAACAGGTCTCCATATTTTATCTGTATTGTCAAACAGCTAATTTAATGTAAATTTTGCTTTCCTCTATTACATTAATATTTAACAATGCTAAATGTGCAAAATTAATATGTTAATTAAATTATTATCTACTTCATCTGTTAACTGGGTCATTTATTGATTAAAAGCACCTTTTAAATAAAATATGCTATTTAAAGAACCGCTAGATGAATAAATAAACAATTGATTTGAACAATAATGATAATTAACTAAATAATTTTTTATTTACTTTTCTAACTATATGACAAAAAATAAAAAAAAGTGAAATAATAAAATTGTTTATTATAATACATAAATAATTGTTTCGCTAAAAAGTACATTTTTTTTAAATAAAGTACAATACATAATGCTACATTACACGTAGCGCGTCACGTCTAAAATATGAATTTTTATCTTCCAACATAACTTGTAATACTTGTGTGGAATTTATGAATATATATAAAAGAGAAACGGGAAAACATCAAAAGCTTATGTAGTGAGAATAAAAAATAAATGATATATTGACTTTTTCTATAGATTACATTTTAATTTTTGTAACGAATCAACTCGCCTTACCCAGTTAACAGATCAAAGATCGTCAATACAAAAGATTCGATGCTTTCGCATATCATACCTGACAAATGTCACCAACGACGATGTCAGACACGGAAACTTGTTTTACTTCTCCTTGCCGTATAACCGAGAACTTGTGTTCTCCCTCTATCCGACTTTGAAGACCTCTAAACTGCCTCTCCTTGGAATAATCATTAAACGCCGTCACTAAGACCACCACGATTACAGAAATCAATATAGCGAGTCCTTCAATCCAACCGTATTTCGCTTCATCCTCATCTAATGAAGCTAAAAGTAAATAAAAGAACATTATAAAATTTGTTCGAAATCTTTTCAAAATTAAATTCTCAAAATTCTCTGTTATCGTGTGTATTAAATGTTTTTGATGCGCAACAGTATGTCTAATAGCAATTCTAATATCAATTTATAATAAGCGGAAACCACTCGTAAGCACTTACGTGATTCTTCCTCCTCCTCATCAGCTGGCTGATAAAAGCTAAGACCTAATGAAACCAATGCTGCTACTTCTAAGATGATTAATGTGACATCTTGCAACGCTTCCCATACTAACTGTAAAAATGTTTTTGGTGGTTTTGGGGGTATCATATTGGAACCAAATGTATCTCGCCTATGTTGTATGTCCGCTGCTGACCCACTAAGACCTATATAGATAAGGAATTATAATAGCTTAATGCATTCCTCGTCACATATTTTTATATCACAAATGCATGTCATTTTTTCATAACATAATTCAAATGTCATATAATTCTTAACGTAAATTCGTAATATTACAGAAGAATGTAAATTCTGAAGACGTTCATAGAGCTTGTTTTCTACTAGCTATCTCTGCAAATTCATTATTTGATTACTTTTTTACATGTAAAATCTTTCAGATTTTATATGAGAAGAAATTTATTCATATTAATGTACAATGCAAATAGAACTGATAATATAGTAAACAATATAAAGTTCCACTTAAAAAGCATCCTTATGTAGATGTATAATACTTTATTCATTTAAATTGATGAGTCAACGAATCAATTGAGTCAATGGTGATGTAAAATGAATACAGAATATTCAATATTGAATAATAACAATGTTTTGAGTTCAATATTTATCATTGTCAATGTCAAAGAAATTATCACTCAAACACTCTGTATCTTTATATATCTAGAACAGATTCGTATCCTACACAAGTGTTTTAAAAACAACCTTTGAAACAAATTAGAAACAAGCTCTATATTAAAAGAACGTGCTTCATTTCTAAACAGTCCCTAACAGTGTGTCCTACCCAATCAATTTGTCTGGCGTATTATCCAGCCTCTCACATTTTTCTGACAGTACAGTCAATGTTTACATTTATGCGTCCAACTCACAATGTTTATGTTTGTGAATCCAGCTGAAACTGCATATTTGATGTTGTCGCAGTGGAACACAGCAATCTTACCTTCACTGGGTGAAGTATACAGCTTTTTACAAATCTCCTGCACACCACCGTAGCCATTGATTTTGCTGACACCTTCGCGCCCCCGGAGCTCCATAAGCTCGCGGAGTTGCTTAAGCGTGACACCATATTGGGCCGGCCGGCCGTCTATCGTCGCCATGATATCTCTGTCGCTTCTGTTGGCCGAAGCCAACTACTGTTACGCTTCCACAAGGCTACCACAGCTCGTATTATTCTCTGGCGTCGCTGCTCCACTGGTCTCCAAATGAATGGAGAACCAACGGCTGAAACACAAAACATATCGTTCTTTCAGTAATCAAGTTTTATAAACAATAATAAATTTTACATGTAAATGTATGGATGTAAATATGTTTAAAAAAACCAATGTCTTTAATTTCTATGTGCAATTTGAATTATCAGAATTTAAACTATGCCTGTTGTTTAGTGAGAATTATTGACTACAATCTGCAGCAGATATCTCAGAAAGATCTTAGAAAAAAATTAAATCTACCGTGGCGAAGCACGTAGCGCACATCTCCGCACAACAGCCGCGTGTACACGAGACAGCACCTCGGTCGGCGGAGCTCCGGATCGAGACGCGGACGCAATCGATACGCGCGGCCGCGTGTCACGAAAACGAAACGAATATCCGCCGCTGCCGACGACGCCGACGACGACGACGACGATGACGACGACGACGACGACGACGGCGACGACGACGACGACGACAACTCGCTCACTCGCGATGGACGCTCTCGTCGCTTATGCAACGCGATTATTGATTCCGGGGGTGTGCAGCGACGTCGAAAGGAGCAACATCGCTCCGCCGTGCTGGTCCCTACCACTACGAACGCACACAGACACACACCACGTCGACCTTACCGCGGCGCTTCGCGTTAAATGTCAAACTCCTTTAACCCGGCGCCCGAGCGAGCACTCTCCGGTCATCCGCATCATGGAGAACAGTGATTGAATAACGAGATCACGTCGCGTTAATCTAAGTTCACTCCCCCGAATTAAAGAGCTGTCGATGCTAGATCCGTCTTCTGTCAGAAAGCGCAAGCCGGAACACTGTGCTGCGATTGCTCGATTTGAGGTTATGCGCGCCAAGCAGCAGGCGGGCTCGGCCTCCTCCGCTCGGCTGACAGCGGCGTGAAATTTCGCGCGGATTGCGAGCACGAGGTAAAGCCAGCGTCGCGTCGCGAACGTCGCGAATACAAGCACTGACGAACGGAAAATAACAGTAGGACGTACTGTCACTCGCTCGCTCGATAAGAATACAAACACAGTGTTCTAAAAATAACAGCGTGCATTGGGCAGAAAGAGACAGAAGCTGAGAGAGCGAGAGAGAGAAGCGCATTTTACCTTCTGACGACTCTTTTTTCGTGCTTTGCACACAAAAGGCGACGAATTCACAAGAAATCGACGTATAAACGACCGAACGACCACGCACGCTGTCCTCATCACAGTTTCATGATTTCCCGTTGTCAGTAAGTGACGTGTGGCCGGAAGAGAGAAAGAGAGAGAAAGCTTTATCTTCGTGCAGGCAAGCAGAAGGTCTGGCAAGGTGTAAGACAAGGTTTCCCGATCGTCGTGGAAAAGCGAGTGTTAAGTGAAATGAGCCATTAGCGAAATGATAATCGATTCGTGTTGCCCTCTGGTAGATCGCGAACGTAACTCCTCTCTGCCTCTCTCTCTCTTTCCCTCCTTTCTTTCTCTCTCTTTCTGGAATCCTTTTTTTTTAAATTTGAATCACGAATTTATTACGTACGTTTGCTTTATTATACGTCCTACAATTTGGATCTACTAAGTTTTGATTACACTATTTCTTATGCTTTCTGCATTGGAAATGAAATAGATTACGTGCATTTACAATGAAGTAGACGGATAAAGTTAAAGTTTTCAGAAAAGGGAAAAAGAGAGAAGCCAAAGTATATAGATATTGTGAGTAATATGGAAAATGACTTTCTCGAAATAAAAATTAACTATCTACGGAAAAGAAACGACCCAAATGCACGTCAAGGATGTGGAAATTTAATCTGTTCAATAAAAGCTTCTTCCCACGATGAAAGATCGACGGCGGGACGATCGGAGACGTCGAGACGCCGGGCGTCGTCAGCGCGGCGCGACGCGACGCGACGCGACGCGACGCAATGCAATGCGTTTTCGCTCGGCGAGCACGCAGTCTAATTCACTCGCGGACGTTTACGTAATTTTCATCCGCGGCACGACGCTATTTTCAACCGGCAATAATCAGCGGCCGGTCTCGCGGGCGACCGGTTACGGCCCGCGAGTTCCTTTTACGATGCCGACGAGGCGTTTGAGCACTTTCGCTACCACGCAAATATGCACGACGGCGTCCCAATTGTAACGTAACACGATTAAGAAAAGCAGCACGAGGACGACGCGGACAATCAGGTATAAAAAAAAGTTTTTTTACGTTGGATCGTCTAGTGTGGAGTGGAAATAAAAATCGATACCATCCTAAGCCACGGGACGTCCTTTACGAGATACTGTAGGAAGCAGATATACAACCAGGAATGACTTCTTGTATCGATCCAACCAACAAATTGCGTAAAAAGAAGTAATTTCCTGCTAACGGTCGTCGCTTTTTATTATAAAACGGTGTTAGGCATTTGGCAGACCCGCGGAATTGCATTTCGTTAAGCCGCGACCACGCTAGAGCGACTTTTATAGCGCGATCTCGCGACTTGAAATACTTCCAAAAACCGTCTCTCGCCTCTCGCGAAGCTAATTTTCCTCGGTTCACTTTGATCCATATTTTCGGCCGATTGTTAAACATATTCCAAGAGAAATATGTACACAACATTAACTTATCAGAATCGGTCTTAATGTTTACGACAGCCTTGTGCAGGTAACAATTGTACTTTTACGTCACATCATGACAAGGTTTTTTTAATTCTCTTAATACCACATTGTTTAGCTCTTCAAGATTTTCTTTACTTTCAAGATGTATTTTAAAATATACATTTACGCATAATTATTTTACATTATTTTAATTAATAAAATTCGGAGAAGAATTCAAGCTATTGCGAGAGCTGACCATTAAATGGCGATGAATAAATGTTGCACAAAAAAAAAATAAAAAAGAAGAAAATTATAAATCACACTATTTTAATCGCCTACGTTTTTTAGACGAGACTGAAGTTCGATAACAAATTCCATATGCGTAAACATGATTCCTACTTATGTATTCAATGATCCGACATCTAATTGTATCTCGAGACACGAACTATGCGTCTGACACAATGCTATAAATACGAATACAGTGATCGCAAGATCTGCAAGAAACGAAGGTTGCCGGTCGATTACTTCGCGGAGAGAACGGCGGCGGATTACGCGTTCGCGCGCTGACATTTTATGCGAAGGAACGCAGAGACTGGTTGTTGTTGTCGGCGCTCCTTTACAAGTGACCACGAACGGCCGACGGGAGAGCGTATCGTCATTAATACTCTGTAGCGGTGTCCGAGGTGGAGGGTAGAGGTGAAGTCACGAAATGATGTCACCGCTTACGCACGTTCATCGAATTAGTGCCCCGCGCGATTTTATTATCCGCTCAGACGGCTCTTAGCTAAACGAGTTTAATCGCTTTTGCATGAGCCGCTCTCATTATTCACCCGCGTACCGCCGTCACGTAGCGTTAATCCCGTTCGGCGCGGTGCCGTTCTTTTTTATTAACTCGCCCGCTGTCGTCGCCGCTGGTAAGATGAGAAATGTCCTTCGCCCCCGTTAAACGTCAGATCCGTAAGACCGCTCGGAAATTCGGCCCTCGCAGAAGCTCCAGGCGCTTCGTAAGTTCAAAATTTCATGAATATTAACGAAGAAGACAGAATGTAATAAAAAAAGTCATACATGGAGAATTATGACGCGGATTCGTGTCTTCTATTTCACCCATCATCAAGACCAATTTATCTTTGACCTTTCCCGCCATAAATCTTCCCGTGAACAAAATTGTACAACGTAAAGTTTATAAAGTTTTAATCGCCTACGTTTTCAAAATTTTAGATTCGTAAAATGCGAAAGATATTAATTGGTATTCTGAAGAAACCGGTCCGGCGATAATCGTAAATTCCTTGACATAAATAACGATTCCCCGGTCCGAATTTTATAATATATTCAATGTAACTGAATTATATAATCAATATATCACAGAATATTCAATATGCTGCATATAATTGTTAATGTACATTTTAAAGTATTAATTGTAACACACCGAGTTTCACGGATATGACTCTACTGTCGACAGCAAAGTGATTGCTCAACCGCGAAAAAAACGCAACGATCTCTCACCTGAGTAGCAGAAGCGCGTTCCACGGATGCAGAATAAATAGTCGCGTTGTCACAACTAGTCATCGGATACGCTCACTGCGCGATAGAAGAAATCAGCGGGGAATGATTCATGAATGCAAAGAGCGTCCTACGCAAACGCCGCTCTCCCGTTCGCTCGCGCGCATTCTCGGCATTCTGACACGTCACGCACGGACGCACACAAACAACACGCACAAGTACACGCGCGAAGCATCGTCGTCGCGGTTGCTTCCTCCTTATCAAAATCCGTATACTCGCCTTTAATGCTCGGGGGGCACGCTCGCAGCACGAAGGAACGTGTAACGGGGAAAAGGGCATGTAAAATAAATATTTACGACGCCCCCTTTAAGCGTCATATCGGTCGACTCGCCGGCCAAATCGATAAGCGACGCTAAACCGCGTCGCTAACGTTCACTCGCGTTCGCGTACACGGTCGTTAGGCGAATACTGTCGTCGAGAAGGATGACGCGTGTATTTATTTAACATATTCGCTTGACATGCGCCACGCGAGTGCGATACGCGACAATTAGTGTAAAAGAAATGTTTGTGATAATGCTGTTGTGAAACGACGATGATGTTAAACTCTATATTTATAGCGCACTAACGCACAAATAGAAAGCGTAAATAGAAAATAATTTTTTGCATCGATCCAAATTACAAATCGCTTAAGAAGAAATTATTTTCATCGTGCAATCACTGCGAATGTATGATACGACGGTTCGTGTGTGCAAAGCACGTGTATAATAACGTCGAATATAATAATATTACAGAACAGTAATGATGATGTTGAGTTCCAAATTAATAGCACATTATCGCGCAAATGGATAGCGTAAATGGATGGAGAATAATTTCTTCTATCGATCCAGTTATAAATCGCTTAAGAGACAATTTTCAGCGTGTAATCGCTCTCTTTCAAAATTTACGTCGATAGCACGTTGTTATCTATTATTTTCCA